CCATTCACAGTCTCTATATAGAAGCAGATGAGCCTTCTCTTAAACAACGCCGTTTAAAATTGTCTTTACAATACATCACTAAATTATATTCTAATCAGTCTAATCCAGCTTTTGAATGCATATTCCATCCTCTCTACGAGGATCTTTACATTAAGAAATCAACACTTACTCCACCACTCGGAATCAGAATAAAATCTGCAATATCAGCTTCTAAAATTCAACTCCAAGATATAGCTCCTACTAAACTTTTCTCATCTCCTCCTTGGCAAATGGTAAAGACAGAGGTAGATCTTACATTAACAAAACTAAAGAAATCAGACACAAACGAATTAATTTACCAACAAGAATACAGTCAATTAAGAAACAATTATGACACTTAAATCTATCTTTACAGATGGATCCAAGGATGGTGGCGCAGTTGCTAGTGCCACCGTCATTGGATCCAGTACAATATCTTCACGTTTACCTGATAACAGTTCCATATTCACTGCAGAAGCAAACGCCATTTGTACAGCACTTAAATATATCAGTAATCAATCTAAACATAAACAATTCATACTGTTTTCAGATTCTCTTTCATGCCTTCAAGCAATTAAAAATATGTAATCAAAACATTCACTTTTAATCCAAATTCTTGAGTTATTAAATGATCTTGCTACTGGCCAATATGACATCGTCTTTTGTTGGTTACCAAGCCATGTTGGTACCATTGGTAACACAATGGCTGATGCTGCTGCAAAGGCAGCACTCAACAAATCTGTGACACCACTTCTGATCCCATACACTGATTTTAAACCTGTCATTCGATCTTACATACGTGATCTGATGCAAAAGAAGTGGGACACCCAAGTAGGTATCAATAAATTACATGAAATTAAACCAAATATCGGTGACACCTACTTGGGCTGTCAGTCCCGATTTGATGAGGTCATTATGCGACGATGCCGTATTGGCCATTCAAGATATACACATGAGTATCTTTTGAATGGTGAGGATCCTCCGTTTTGCATCCCTTGTGATGAAAGAATCACAGTCAAGCATGTCCTGCTTGATTGTATTGATTTTTCCATCACAAGGGATAAATATTATCATGTAAAAACAGTCAAGGACCTTTTTAATCACGTACATTCTCATTTAATATTGTGCTTTTTAAAAGAAATTGAATTCATTCATAAATTTTGATGTCTATAATAAGTTTTTAGACATTGGTAGTGCTAACTAATAACTTAGATTGTTAGTGGTTGTACCCTCGAGGGGGGTTGAAGTAGCGTAAAATTATTGTCCCCCCTAAGAGGGTATGTAAGTCCCACATCATTCAATGTATTGTTATGCATACCAGAATTTTAAAACGTAGTATTTTTGTCATTTTAATCTAAGGCTTAACTGGTCAACTTTCGCCAGTGACTGAAGGACTGATATAAATCCAGCCAGGGTCCATGCAGGTAGCAAAGGCACTGTAAGTCCCCATGGTCCCTGGTATGGTATTCTCCCTTTAGTAACTGACGATCTCTAGCCCATTTTTATATTGTGTTGCTAATTCTTTCTGCTTTTATATGTTCCTCAACTAATTTTAATACACTCTGTGATATCCTAGTTATTGTACTGTCCTTTGCTGACAGGTTTTTTATAAATTATATATACTTATTTGTTATTAATGTATTAATTCTCGTCACGATATGGCTGAAATATTGCCGATGTGACGTAAAATAGTAACTCACTCACTCACTCACTTGTACAAGAAATTTGGAAGTCATTGGCGTGTTCGTGACGGAGATATGAGTTGTTGAAATTGCGATTTTTTAAGTTGTTTTGAGTTATCTGCCCTTACTCCTTGAGCCAAGAGTCTTGAGATTTTTGTGGACATCACTTCAGGACCTAAGGTATCCTTGTGCAAATTTTCAGTAGCTTCTGACAACTGGTTATTGAGTTACGATTGGAACAAAAAACGCCGGAATAATAATAATAATAAAGAATAATAATAATAATAATAAATCGAACAATTACAATAGGGCTCTTGCCTTGTATGGCAGGGAGCCCTAATAATAAATCGAACGATTTCAATAGGGCTCTACAGCCTTTCGGCTTGGAGCCCTAATAATAATAAATCGAACGCTTACAATAGGGCTCTACCGACTTTCGGCTTGGAGCCCTAATAATAATTATAATAGCTGCAAAACAGCAATGGCGGGCTCCAAGTAACATTGCAGACAAACGTCCATCTGTCAAATCTGTCAAATGTAGGCACCACTCGCAGGGTATCGCCGCGACGAAACTGCCTTGTGCCGGGGTGTCTAAGTCTGTTCTCAAATCATTTACCACCTCGAACATGTTCGAAACCTCAAAGGGTTTGCTTGTACAAACTCCATTAAACAATAGTCACCGGAAATCGCCGCTATGAAATTGGCGTGTTCCAGAGGTGTCCCAAATATAAATCAAATATTACCACCAAGCGGTGTTACTTTTAGCATGCATCCAAGAACAAACAGTAGGATGGCACACTAACTTCATGTGAACTTGCAATACCTTCTGTCAACAACCTCAAAAGATATGATCTTTATAGTAAAATGTCGGTGAAAACGAATGATCAAAATCAAAATCCAATATGGCCGCAACTAAAACAGATATCCAAAAACGGCTATAAGAGTTTGTTGTGTTGTGTCAGGAGACAATTCTCAGAAGGTTTGAATGCATTTCATGCAGTGAATTCAGATGAGTTTGCGTTTGAAGACAAGTACCCAAAAGACACTGTGAAAACCTTGAACCTTGAATCCAATATTTCTGCCAAACCACGTGACCAATGACTAAAGTCAAAGAGCATAAAATGTCAATTAACCAAAGCGGTAGACCCATGCAAGTTTTCAAAGTAATCGGACAAGCGGTTGCTGATCAAAAGGGCGAAAAAGATCTTTCAAAAATATTTGTTTTTCAGTTATTTGCCCTTGGCCAATGGGTTCACGGCCTTGGGAGTTTGGCGGAATCTAGTACTCAACTGTCTTCATACACATACTAAATTTGAACAAAATCAGGCCAGTGGTATACAGTATACATGTGATTTATTTTCAACAGTAAAGACAAGAAATACTCATAGGGCAAGATCGACAAACATTTGACTGAAGACAGTTTAATGGATTAAAAGGCAGATGACATAATTGTTTTTTTCAAATGTTAAGGGCTTACACAGTTTCGGGTCAATCTCCAAAATGTTAGTCAATACCTGGTGTGACCACCATTAGCATTGATCACTGCCATACATCTCATGTACATTGAGTGGATCAGACGATTTGTGAAGGCCCTAGGGATCCTCCTGCACACATCCAGAGCAGCTGTGCGTAGTTCATCGGCAGTTGTAGGGACTGGGCACACATTGTGCAGACGCCTTTCAACCTCATCCCACAAGTGTTCGATGGGGTTCAGACCAGGGCTGAGGGCTGGCCACGGTAGAACACGGATGTTGTGTTGTTGCAGAAAGGCCATGGTAGCTCTGGCAACATGGTGACGAACGTTGTCCTGCTGGAAAATCTGTTGTTGATGTTGTGCAAGAAATGGAACAACGTGGGATCTGATCACTTGGTCGATACACCGCTAAGCAGTGACGCCGTGTCCCCGACCTTGACCAACATTCAGAAAGCACTTGTATCCAAGTCTCGCAGTAAGTCCCATCCCTGCCCATATCATGACGCTCGGTCCACCCCATGGATCCCTTTCCACAATGTTTCTGTTGATCACCTCGACGCCGCCAAATTCTGACTATTCCGTCTGCATGGGTTACACAAAAGCGACTTTCATCAGAGAAGATGACACGCCTCCACTCACGATGACGCCAATTGTGATGACCCTGTGCCCACTGAAGTCGTGCTTGTCGATGCCGTGGTTGGAGAACAGGACGACGTGCTGGTCGACGACATCTGAGATTGCTGGAACGGAGACGTCGGATCACAGTGTCCCGGCTAATGTGTCGATTGTGTGTTCCTATGGTCTGTCGAGCACTTTCACTTGCAGTTACAGTCCGTTTGACTCCAAATGAGAACGATGAATTGCAAAATAACTCGAAATCCAGAAAAGTGTATGAAACATCAATACGGTACTTGACCATGAACACCCTGTACCCAACAAAATCTGAATTTTGTTTATTTTAAGACCCATGACGGATGAAGTTCTTTAAGAAACTATCATGTAATTTTGTATAGAAATGTGTACATGACACGTAGGGGGACAAACCGTTGAAGGCACAGCGCGGACGGTAAATTGTGGCTATGTTAACGTTGAAATGATGGGCAACATCTTGGACAGACTCTCCAGCTTCCAAACGTCCGATAGCCTGGTTTCTCTGAATTTGAGTTAGGCGTTACTACTACTACTACTAATAATAATAATAATAAATCGAACGATTACAATAGGGCTCTACAGCCTTTCGGCTTGGAGCCCTAATAATAAAAAAAACGATGACCATTTCTACATATGTTCATAGTCACTTGAATGTTCTTTTACTTCATAACACATCTAGTAATTATTCTTCCTTCGTGAGAATTGGCACATTATCACAGTCTTTTCCACAACTGTACCGCCAATGATAGATATAAAAAACACACATTTGAAACGAAATATCAAATGACAGAAATCCATGAAAGTGAAGTAATAATAAGGACAGTGTCCACTTTGTGTGTGTCTCACGGAGCTGTGCTCCAATGATCAGGGGTGTCATTAATAAGAATAAAGTAATAATGAAAACGTTGTAATGGGTTCACAGGTTTATCAATAACAGCTAATTGTACTTATAGGTGACAATAAAAGATGAGATAAACCCAATCTGAGCTGACAAGGATCACTGATTAGTTACATCAGAGCAAATACACTGGTTTCCACAAGTGTACCGCCAATGATAGATATAAAAACACACACATTTGAAACGAAATATCAAATGACAGAAATCCATGAAAGTGAAGAAATAATAAGGATGAGGAGAGATATGTGATGATCCAATGTAACTTGCCTTTTTACAGATTGTTCAAGGCGAAAACTGGATCTGGTCTTTCTGTTGGACTCCTCCGGTAGTGTCAAACTGCACAACTTCAAAACCACGCTTTCCTTCGTGAAAAGCTTCCTCTCGACAACAAGTATAGATGATGGTAACGTCCGAGTTGGTGTGGTCACTTTTAACCATCGTGCGCATATTCAGTTTCACCTCAATCAATATAAAACGAAGAAAGAGTTATTCCGGGCAATAGACAAAATCAAATACAAAAAAGGAGCTACCAACACTTATGCTGGTCTCAGAACACTGCGAACTAAAATGTTTAGCAAAAGAAGAGGTGATCGTAGAGGTGCCAAGAATGTAGCTTTGGTCATCACAGATGGTTTGTCCAACAGGAATGCCAAGAAGACGATTCCAGAAGCAAAGGCTGTGAGAAAGGCAAACATCCAGATCTATGCCATTGGTATCGGATTGAAGAAGCGTACAGCGGAGTTAGAAGGGATAGCCAGTAGACCCATTGAAGAGAATCGATTTACAGTAAAGGACTTCAAAAGGTTAGGAGGCCTTAAGGAGAAAGTATTCGCTTCAGTCTGCCAATTTGCCACAACTCCACTGCCACCAAAAGGTATGTGCTTTCGTTTTCATCAATTAGTGTTGTTGTCTGTAATGCCAGGTAACCATAAACGAATGTGCATTTTACGCGATTGCAACTGTACCATGGACAGTGTCCACTTTGTGTGTGTCTCACGGAGCTGTGCTCCAATGATCAGGGGTGTCATTAATAAGAATAAGTAATAATAAAAACGTTGTAATGGGTTCACAGGTTTATCAATAACAGCTAATTGTACTTATAGGTGACAATAAAAGATGAGATATACCCAATCGAGCTGACAAGGATCACTGATTAGTTACATCAGAGCAAATACACTGGTTTCCACAAGTGTACCGCCAATGATAGATATAAAAACACACACATTTGAAACGAAATATCAAATGACAGAAATCCATGAAAGTGAAGAAATAATAAGGATGAGGAGAGATATGTGATGATCCAATGTAACTTGCCTTTTTACAGATTGTTCAAGGCGAAAACTGGATCTGGTCTTTCTGTTGGACTCCTCCGGTAGTGTCAAACTGCACAACTTCAAAACCACGCTTTCCTTCGTGAAAAGCTTCCTCTCGACAACAAGTATAGATGATGGTAACGTCCGAGTTGGTGTGGTCACTTTTAACCATCGTGCGCATATTCAGTTTCACCTCAATCAATATAAAACGAAGAAAGAGTTATTCCGGGCAATAGACAAAATCAAATACAAAAAAGGAGCTACCAACACTTATGCTGGTCTCAGAACACTGCGAACTAAAATGTTTAGCAAAAGAAGAGGTGATCGTAGAGGTGCCAAGAATGTAGCTTTGGTCATCACAGATGGTTTGTCCAACAGGAATGCCAAGAAGACGATTCCAGAAGCAAAGGCTGTGAGAAAGGCAAACATCCAGATCTATGCCATTGGTATCGGATTGAAGAAGCGTACAGCGGAGTTAGAAGGGATAGCTAGTAGACCCATTGAAGAGAATCGATTTACAGTAAAGGACTTCAAAAGGTTAGGAGGCCTTAAGGAGAAAGTATTCGCTTCAGTCTGCCAATTTGCCACAACTCCACTGCCACCAAAAGGTATGTGCTTTCGTTTTCATCAATTAGTGTTGTTGTCTTTAATGCCAGGTAACCATAAACGAATGTGCATTTTACGCGATTGCAACTGTACCATGGACAGTGTCCACTTTGTGTGTGTCTCACGGAGCTGTGCTCCAATGATCAGGGGTGTCATTAATAAGAATAAAGTAATAATGAAAACGTTGTAATGGGTTCACAGGTTTATCAATAACAGCTAATTGTACTTATAGGTGACAATAAAAGATGAGATAAACCCAATCTGAGCTGACAAGGATCACTGATTAGTTACATCAGAGCAAATACACTGGTTTCCACAAGTGTACCGCCAATGATAGATATAAAAACACACACATTTGAAACGAAATATCAAATGACAGAAATCCATGAAAGTGAAGAAATAATAAGGATGAGGAGAGATATGTGATGATCCAATGTAACTTGCCTTTTTACAGATTGTTCAAGGCGAAAACTGGATCTGGTCTTTCTGTTGGACTCCTCCGGTAGTGTCAAACTGCACAACTTCAAAACCACGCTTTCCTTCGTGAAAAGCTTCCTCTCGACAACAAGTATAGATGATGGTAACGTCCGAGTTGGTGTGGTCACTTTTAACCATCGTGCGCATATTCAGTTTCACCTCAATCAATATAAAACGAAGAAAGAGTTATTCCGGGCAATAGACAAAATCAAATACAAAAAAGGAGCTACCAACACTTATGCTGGTCTCAGAACACTGCGAACTAAAATGTTTAGCAAAAGAAGAGGTGATCGTAGAGGTGCCAAGAATGTAGCTTTGGTCATCACAGATGGTTTGTCCAACAGGAATGCCAAGAAGACGATTCCAGAAGCAAAGGCTGTGAGAAAGGCAAACATCCAGATCTATGCCATTGGTATCGGATTGAAGAAGCGTACAGCGGAGTTAGAAGGGATAGCCAGTAGACCCATTGAAGAGAATCGATTTACAGTAAAGGACTTCAAAAGGTTAGGAGGCCTTAAGGAGAAAGTATTCGCTTCAGTCTGCCAATTTGCCACAACTCCACTGCCACCAAAAGGTATGTGCTTTCGTTTTCATCAATTAGTGTTGTTGTCTGTAATGCCAGGTAACCATAAACGAATGTGCATTTTACGCGATTGCAACTGTACCATGGACAGTGTCCACTTTGTGTGTGTCTCACGGAGCTGTGCTCCAATGATCAGGGGTGTCATTAATAAGAATAAGTAATAATAAAAACGTTGTAATGGGTTCACAGGTTTATCAATAACAGCTAATTGTACTTATAGGTGACAATAAAAGATGAGATATACCCAATCGAGCTGACAAGGATCACTGATTAGTTACATCAGAGCAAATACACTGGTTTCCACAAGTGTACCGCCAATGATAGATATAAAAACACACACATTTGAAACGAAATATCAAATGACAGAAATCCATGAGAGTGAAGAAATAATAAGGATGAGGAGAGATATGTGATGATCCAATGTAACTTGCCTTTTTACAGATTGTTCAAGGCGAAAACTGGATCTGGTCTTTCTGTTGGACTCCTCCGGTAGTGTCAAACTGCACAACTTCAAAACCACGCTTTCCTTCGTGAAAAGCTTCCTCTCGACAACAAGTATAGATGATGGTAACGTCCGAGTTGGTGTGGTCACTTTTAACCATCGTGCGCATATTCAGTTTCACCTCAATCAATATAAAACGAAGAAAGAGTTATTCCGGGCAATAGACAAAATCAAATACAAAAAAGGAGCTACCAACACTTATGCTGGTCTCAGAACACTGCGAACTAAAATGTTTAGCAAAAGAAGAGGTGATCGTAGAGGTGCCAAGAATGTAGCTTTGGTCATCACAGATGGTTTGTCCAACAGGAATGCCAAGAAGACGATTCCAGAAGCAAAGGCTGTGAGAAAGGCAAACATCCAGATCTATGCCATTGGTATCGGATTGAAGAAGCGTACAGCGGAGTTAGAAGGGATAGCTAGTAGACCCATTGAAGAGAATCGATTTACAGTAAAGGACTTCAAAAGGTTAGGAGGCCTTAAGGAGAAAGTATTCGCTTCAGTCTGCCAATTTGCCACAACTCCACTGCCACCAAAAGGTATGTGCTTTCGTTTTCATCAATTAGTGTTGTTGTCTTTAATGCCAGGTAACCATAAACGAATGTGCATTTTACGCGATTGCAACTGTACCATGGACAGTGTCCACTTTGTGTGTGTCTCACGGAGCTGTGCTCCAATGATCAGGGGTGTCATTAATAAGAATAAAGTAATAATGAAAACGTTGTAATGGGTTCACAGGTTTATCAATAACAGCTAATTGTACTTATAGGTGACAATAAAAGATGAGATAAACCCAATCTGAGCTGACAAGGATCACTGATTAGTTACATCAGAGCAAATACACTGGTTTCCACAAGTGTACCGCCAATGATAGATATAAAAACACACACATTTGAAACGAAATATCAAATGACAGAAATCCATGAAAGTGAAGAAATAATAAGGATGAGGAGAGATATGTGATGATCCAATGTAACTTGCCTTTTTACAGATTGTTCAAGGCGAAAACTGGATCTGGTCTTTCTGTTGGACTCCTCCGGTAGTGTCAAACTGCACAACTTCAAAACCACGCTTTCCTTCGTGAAAAGCTTCCTCTCGACAACAAGTATAGATGATGGTAACGTCCGAGTTGGTGTGGTCACTTTTAACCATCGTGCGCATATTCAGTTTCACCTCAATCAATATAAAACGAAGAAAGAGTTATTCCGGGCAATAGACAAAATCAAATACAAAAAAGGAGCTACCAACACTTATGCTGGTCTCAGAACACTGCGAACTAAAATGTTTAGCAAAAGAAGAGGTGATCGTAGAGGTGCCAAGAATGTAGCTTTGGTCATCACAGATGGTTTGTCCAACAGGAATGCCAAGAAGACGATTCCAGAAGCAAAGGCTGTGAGAAAGGCAAACATCCAGATCTATGCCATTGGTATCGGATTGAAGAAGCGTACAGCGGAGTTAGAAGGGATAGCCAGTAGACCCATTGAAGAGAATCGATTTACAGTAAAGGACTTCAAAAGGTTAGGAGGCCTTAAGGAGAAAGTATTCGCTTCAGTCTGCCAATTTGCCACAACTCCACTGCCACCAAAAGGTATGTGCTTTCGTTTTCATCAATTAGTGTTGTTGTCTGTAATGCCAGGTAACCATAAACGAATGTGCATTTTACGCGATTGCAACTGTACCATGGACAGTGTCCACTTTGTGTGTGTCTCACGGAGCTGTGCTCCAATGATCAGGGGTGTCATTAATAAGAATAAGTAATAATAAAAACGTTGTAATGGGTTCACAGGTTTATCAATAACAGCTAATTGTACTTATAGGTGACAATAAAAGATGAGATATACCCAATCGAGCTGACAAGGATCACTGATTAGTTACATCAGAGCAAATACACTGGTTTCCACAAGTGTACCGCCAATGATAGATATAAAAACACACACATTTGAAACGAAATATCAAATGACAGAAATCCATGAAAGTGAAGAAATAATAAGGATGAGGAGAGATATGTGATGATCCAATGTAACTTGCCTTTTTACAGATTGTTCAAGGCGAAAACTGGATCTGGTCTTTCTGTTGGACTCCTCCGGTAGTGTCAAACTGCACAACTTCAAAACCACGCTTTCCTTCGTGAAAAGCTTCCTCTCGACAACAAGTATAGATGATGGTAACGTCCGAGTTGGTGTGGTCACTTTTAACCATCGTGCGCATATTCAGTTTCACCTCAATCAATATAAAACGAAGAAAGAGTTATTCCGGGCAATAGACAAAATCAAATACAAAAAAGGAGCTACCAACACTTATGCTGGTCTCAGAACACTGCGAACTAAAATGTTTAGCAAAAGAAGAGGTGATCGTAGAGGTGCCAAGAATGTAGCTTTGGTCATCACAGATGGTTTGTCCAACAGGAATGCCAAGAAGACGATTCCAGAAGCAAAGGCTGTGAGAAAGGCAAACATCCAGATCTATGCCATTGGTATCGGATTGAAGAAGCGTACAGCGGAGTTAGAAGGGATAGCTAGTAGACCCATTGAAGAGAATCGATTTACAGTAAAGGACTTCAAAAGGTTAGGAGGCCTTAAGGAGAAAGTATTCGCTTCAGTCTGCCAATTTGCCACAACTCCACTGCCACCAAAAGGTATGTGCTTTCGTTTTCATCAATTAGTGTTGTTGTCTTTAATGCCAGGTAACCATAAACGAATGTGCATTTTACGCGATTGCAACTGTACCATGGACAGTGTCCACTTTGTGTGTGTCTCACGGAGCTGTGCTCCAATGATCAGGGGTGTCATTAATAAGAATAAAGTAATAATGAAAACGTTGTAATGGGTTCACAGGTTTATCAATAACAGCTAATTGTACTTATAGGTGACAATAAAAGATGAGATAAACCCAATCTGAGCTGACAAGGATCACTGATTAGTTACATCAGAGCAAATACACTGGTTTCCACAAGTGTACCGCCAATGATAGATATAAAAACACACACATTTGAAACGAAATATCAAATGACAGAAATCCATGAAAGTGAAGAAATAATAAGGATGAGGAGAGATATGTGATGATCCAATGTAACTTGCCTTTTTACAGATTGTTCAAGGCGAAAACTGGATCTGGTCTTTCTGTTGGACTCCTCCGGTAGTGTCAAACTGCACAACTTCAAAACCACGCTTTCCTTCGTGAAAAGCTTCCTCTCGACAACAAGTATAGATGATGGTAACGTCCGAGTTGGTGTGGTCACTTTTAACCATCGTGCGCATATTCAGTTTCACCTCAATCAATATAAAACGAAGAAAGAGTTATTCCGGGCAATAGACAAAATCAAATACAAAAAAGGAGCTACCAACACTTATGCTGGTCTCAGAACACTGCGAACTAAAATGTTTAGCAAAAGAAGAGGTGATCGTAGAGGTGCCAAGAATGTAGCTTTGGTCATCACAGATGGTTTGTCCAACAGGAATGCCAAGAAGACGATTCCAGAAGCAAAGGCTGTGAGAAAGGCAAACATCCAGATCTATGCCATTGGTATCGGATTGAAGAAGCGTACAGCGGAGTTAGAAGGGATAGCCAGTAGACCCATTGAAGAGAATCGATTTACAGTAAAGGACTTCAAAAGGTTAGGAGGCCTTAAGGAGAAAGTATTCGCTTCAGTCTGCCAATTTGCCACAACTCCACTGCCACCAAAAGGTATGTGCTTTCGTTTTCATCAATTAGTGTTGTTGTCTGTAATGCCAGGTAACCATAAACGAATGTGCATTTTACGCGATTGCAACTGTACCATGGACAGCGTCCACTTTGTGTGTGTCTCACGGAGCTATGCTCCAATGATCAGGGGTGTCATTAATAAGAATAAAGTAATAATGAAAACGTTGTAATGGGTTCACAGGTTTATCAATAACAGCTAATTGTACTAATAGGTGACAATAAAAGATGAGATAAACCCAATCTGAGCTGACAAGGATCACTGATTAGTTACATCAGTGAAAAGGCGAAGCAACTGTAATACAGGTAATAAAATGAGAGTAGCTAAAAACCACACTTTCATAAGATATAGACATAAGATGCGTAGACAGCCTATTAAGTCATCTGCGGCCAAGTAACACTTGAGTCAATGATTGAAGGACCTCGGCTGGGTTAAAAAAAGGGAAATGAACACAGATGTCTTATCCCTAAAATAAGACACTAGGACAATAAACATGACAAGTACGGGTCGAATCGACTGAAGATTCTGTCACTTTGACTGAACAAGGCATTGCTAAAATCCCCAGATAGGTGGACAATCACGGGAAGGTTGGTTGTTCAAGGATTATTAGAAAGACTAAGCATTTCAAACCTTATCTGCTAAGTTTAGCTCAATACATCCAGAGTAAGTCAGTAGAAGTGCGAAGGTATTTTCTGGGCACAGCGGCTGTCCAGACCCAATTACATATCAGGATATGTTTGTATATTTGACAAAAACATTAAGTTAGGAACATTAACAATATTATGTATTTTAGATTGCATGAGACGAAGTCGAAAGAACTCTAGATATGTATTCACAAGCGGACATTTTATATTCATTTCACATATTTCAGTACGTACCCTTAGTATTAACCATAGCTTCCCGAGGTAGTTAATAATTGCTGAATATAAACAAATAATTACAGGCGGCTACGTCATTCCTCTCAAGTAACAACAAAATCCCACTTCCACTATTTGCTGATCGAAACCTGAACTCATGTTTGTGGTGACAGTAGTGAAGCTCCGTACACAGATCAGTACGAATCCGTAGATCTGTAGGAACATGTGATTATCATATCACCTAAACGTAAAGCTTGGAGGTTTGGAAAACGTAGGTATAAATTGTTCAGTTTGATTGCTATTTATTTTATACGAGACCAACAAGCAAAAGAGGAGTTGAACTTTTCAGTTGAGTTTCGTTTTCAAGCAAACGGTTGAATATAAACAGCGAATGTTCATAATTATATAAATACCACTATCGGTACTTTTACGTAGATATGTGGTCGCTCGCTATCCTGCGACATTCCGCTGTTAGAACTTCGATTGACGCTACAACTTACGCAATGTCTGATCAGCCGCCGTAATGACACAGGATGATCCGTTTTCCACTGCTCCGTCCAATGAATACCTTCATCTATATATCCATTCTTTCAGATGCATCTCTTTTATGCCAGGTGAAATATCGCGATCGATGAGCCTGACTTAAATTAAAACTTACAGACTCGATCAGTCTCTGGGCCTATCATCAAAATAAACCAGCTAAACGTGGCTACGTCTCAGTCGAAGTATGCATTACGTATATTATCATTAATTAACAATATGTATCACCCTCATAACGACCAACATGGCATGTTGTCAATTCTAAAACAGTTCAATTCCCATCTGGGACTTGTTCCACTTGTCAGAGGGGTATACAAAGTACGTGATCTAGACTATCAGGGGTCGGACTTACATTATTGTGGAAGCCTCGGTGGCTGAGTGGGTTAGATCGCTGACTTTGTGCGCTGGCAATTAAGTGCCTCACTCAGTGTTGGTTCGAATCACGGAAAAAACAGCATTTACTAAGCGAGAGTAGGTTATCTTATTGAGGATACATCTGTGGGGGAGGGTTCTTCCAATTGCCGTACAATCAAGACGATCTTTCTTTGACACATCATTTTGATATTTACGATGTATATTCTAAAGCTTATGTTCCACATGCCCAACGTAGCCAAAAGGAAAATTGACTAAATAAGAGAAGAAGTTTGGCATTACATATATGCAGAGACATCATCTGAATATGACTATATGATACCTATCTGCACGAACTATTCAAAAATAGGTCCAAGGTCATGGAGATAAAGGCTAAAGATATCACACCATAAGGAACAAATCCTGTGGCCAGTATTCATTTTGTCGAGAAGGATACCTCGAAAAATACTGAACGTTGGGTAACAAACATTCACCCAGGAAATAAGGAGATGTGCAAATAAATATATATCTACCAAAATATTGGCTCAAAAGCCAAAACAAAACCAAAGTAAATGTAAATTTACATTGCATGACAAAGTAGACACATCCTGATATGCTCAAAACAGAAATTACGCCCCTTTTTTCAGGGACCCTAATTAAATATTATGCAAGAAATACTCTTGTGACGGCTTTATGTCGTCATTATCCCACAGCATAACCATATCACCTGTGGCTGTCGCCATTCCCCTGGTCATCAGTGTATTGTTCAAGGTGTAATTAGTGGTATCAGCCCTCTGTCCCTGTCTACAATATATGACAGACAGGCGGACAAGTTTCTTTTTGTCTCACTCATTCCTCTTATCATATCCCTCTTGTCATACAGTCTTGTGGAGAGCGTTTTGTCACTCTGAATCTTTATGCACTGGTCTCCTTTATTTCTAGTTCAGGTGGGTAAATCAGTGAAAGGAAATTGTTTATTTGTTTGTTATTGAACGATATGAGATCACCGATATACCTGAAGCTAAAGTAAAATTTCTTGGCCAAATGACTTTGTTTTGACTTTGCCAATCCGAACAGAAATTCCGATTCATATGCATAAAGAAACAGATCCGCAATAAGTGAGGCACAATTGGTGCCTATAGGGATGCCTATTTCTTGCCTAAATGTCTTACCCCCGACTTTTTCGAAGATGTTTTCAATTAGGAAGTCCAGCATTTCATGTATTGTTTTCTCAGTAAACTTCAGATAGCATTTGCTTTCATGTTTCACAGATGGTCCTGAACCTCTCAATATAGATACGTAACTGTATCTGTGTACACCACGTTTTGTAACAAAAAAACCATGGATCAAAGAATGAAGTTTTTACCTTAAGTTTGTCATGTGGGATAGTGGTGTACAAAGTTGAAATATCAAATGTTTTGACATAATGGAACTTGGTTCTTTTCTGAGATTGCAAAACAGTCAAGCGAATCCTTTGAGTTTTTGAGAATTCACATGGTATTAATTCCACTTGTCTCAAACACTGTGAACATTAAGAACGCCCTTCCTTGATTGTATTAAGGATTATGGTTAGTTTTTAAGACAGGGATTTGGTGGTACATTTGCTGGACCGAGCAGTATATCTCTCTTTGTGCAGATTTGTATGGGACTTTGGAATCCAGTACAAAAGAGGAATGGAGATGTTTTAGAGTCAAGTCAAAAGTTGACAGTTCTGATTTATGGTTTGGGCAGATTTCTTCCTCAGTTAACGTACTGGCCTTACATGTGGCATTATTTGATATATCATGTATACCAAGTTCTTTGATCAAACAATTAATGTAATGATGCTTACATATTTTTGTTTCAATTTCGGAATTGCTGCTTGTTAAATGTCCCAGGTCGCTTTTCCCAAGATATGACGCCACTTTGGCATTCCGGCTCCTTTTGCAACTATTACAGTGCATATATTTCTTGATACTTTTTATAATTTTCACAAATTATTATCAACAACGGAAATCCTTATATTTACAAGTCGGCAGGCGGTCGGTACAGTGCCTTTATCGCGACACTTGTCGAACACAGTGGCATTCCCTCAGCAAACACATTTTCGTAAAACTTAAATTACGTAATCATAGATAAAGCATGGTGCATCAATGTCGACACAGTCGTTCTTCTCTGGTCAAGCGTCGATAGGTATTCTCTATCCAGCAGGCGTATGTTTAACGATCTTCCGAACTATAATTAAAATCAAGTTTGCTCGGCAATAGTGAGATTACTACCTTTCCATCTCCTTCCCCATGTCGTTGTCAAAAGTTAAAGCCAATTCCCTTCTCAACAGACATATGTTTAACCACGGGCTAAAAACAGTAATTAATATCATCTCTCATTTGGTTTAACATGACCACTTCAACCAATATTTATGTTATAGGTAGGTCAGTTCATTCATATTTTCGTCAGTTTGATCATCAAATGTTATATCAGTAAATGTACCTCCTTTACACGCTTACAGAATATGCTATAACAATTCTGTATGACACATTCTGTATTTATATATTTATCACGATGTAATATATTGATATATTGTAATAGGTTTCGTTCTTTATTCATTTAGATACAGTACCAAATAGCCTATACGCCACATACATTACCGTAGTCATTTGAATACACCTATAGTCTTCTTTTATATTTCGCGACAATGTACGTTCAAACGCGTATCGTTGAAGTATGCATACAGTTATATAGGGTACACAACAGCCTAATCGCCAAATACATCACCGAATTAATTTAAAGTAATTTATAATCTTCTTTCACATTTCTCGAAATCTACATTGAAACGCCCTTCGTTGCAGTATACAATTAGTATTAACTTCATTATCTGTTATCGTCTAGCTCTTCAGCTATAGGAAATGGACGTCGTCAATATAACATCGCCTGCGTGATACATTACAGTATTCACTAAAATAATCACTACTAAGGCTTACTATTCTCACACAAATACTGAGCTCAATCTCCCACCGTGTACCTTCATGTCTTTATTTGTATAAATTACCCTGCTATTTTATTTACCGTTTTTGTCGAAATTCGTATGTCGCCTTCGTGGTACATTACCGTAGTCACCAAAATGATTACTACTGAAACTTAATATTCTCTCTAAAATTGAGCTATATCTTCTACCTTGTACATTCGTGTCTGAACAATCACCCAACCATTTTACTTATCGTATTTGCCGAAATTATTATGTCATGAAAATTATCACT